AGCAAACAAAGGATAGATTAGAGAGAGAAAGGGCAGTTAAGGGTATCTTACTGGTGATGATGAGGGGGAGAGAGAGAGCAACTAAAGGATAGCTTAGAGAGAGAAAGGGCAACTACAAGCAAAAGGAACTTTATCTTCCAAAACAAAATTCTTAATAAAAGAATGAAAGAAAAAGAAAAAGAAAAATGCATACAAAGTTTTTGCGTTCACCTTGGTCATCAAGATCTTGAGTTTCTGAGATTCTTCTTTCTCCTTTCTGCTCGTCTGAATTCCCATAAGCTTGAGTCTGACTTTTGTAGGAGATAGCGTCCTTCCCTGCAAAAAAAAAAAAACAAAGCCAAGCACTTAAAAACCTAATTGAGCAAGATAATCAATAAAAATTTTAAGCATCTGAGCTTTGAAATCATCTTTGACAACTAAGCGTTCCACGGGGGGGGGGGGGGAGAGAAGAAAATTCCACTGGAAACCACGTAATAAGCCCCAGAAGCACAATTCCATTCCCTAAACCCTATAAGAGCTCTAGACTCTCCAAAATATGGCCTTTCCATTAAAAAATACATATACCAAAAAAAAGGAAAAGAAAATACTTGATAAGCAAATACAAGAGAAGCCCTAGAAGCATAACTTCAACAATACATGTCCTAAAAAAATACCAAGACGTCCAAATCCAAACACACAAGCAAATCATAGACATAAACACATGGACAAAAAAAAAGATAAACTCCATAAAGACCTAGTGTGATCTTATAACCAGCAAAGTCTCATCCGCTTCTGCTACAAAACTTAACAGAAAATTTCTACATAATAGAGAACAAAGACGGGAAAGCAAGACTATAACCTTACCAAGAAAATGGGAATTAAAAATACTAAAAACCACAAAATTGGACCTAGAAAACACAATTCTGACCCCTAAATCTTGGATAAACCCTACTAAGTAAACTATCAAATCAAAATGTTTGCATGAAAGTTACCCAGGAATGCACCACAAAAGAGTCCTTCCTAGAAATAGAACTTCAACACAGGAAACCATAGAAACACACTAAAAGAAGCCACAATCCAGACATCCAGTTAAATCATAAGCCAAATTACATACAATAACAACAAAATTCACCAATAACTTCAAGTGATCAAATGACCTGCAAATTCTCAGCCAGCACCATTACTAAAACTTACAAAATCCTTAAAAAACAAAGGGATGAGACTAAAAATGAGATTGTACCCCTTCTAAATTCTAACAATGAAACAAACTAAATGGCAAGGATGTTTTGAATTGTAGTCTAGAACACCACAAAATTAGACCTAGAAAAAGACAATTCAAACCCCTAGAACCCTAGAAAAGCAAAGAAACGACTCCAAAAAAAGCTCGCCATCAAAATCTCAAAACACGCTCCAATCAAGCTCAAGAAAGCCACTAGAAATTGAAACTCAACAGCATCAACCCTACCTAAAAAAGTACAAATCCAGTCACAATAGGGTCACCGACAAAAACCAGAGAAATTCAGCATGAACCTCAAGTGATCCCACGGTCTGCAACTTCTCAACCTCCATTTTAGCTACTAAAACTTAGAAAATCCCCAAAAACATAGAAATGAGACCAAAAGCAAGAAAACTTTGGCGATAAGAGGGTAAAACATGAGGTTCAGAGGTTCGATTTGTACAGATCGAAGAAGCCCAAAGACTTTAACAGTGAGAAAATAACGCAACTGAAATATACCTCAGACAAATGAGGCATCCCACTTCATCTGTGGCAAATGCTCGATGCAGATGCCTTCTAGGTCCGGCACCCGTAAAAACTTTAAACCCGGTATTATATTACAAGATTTAAAAAAAATTAAATTAAATTAAATTAAATATTTTCTGCATTAGCATGAGCTCAGCTCGGCTTACATCGGCTTGGCTCGGCTTACATCAGCTTGCCTCGGCTTACATCAGCTCAGCTCGGCTTACATTAGCTCGGCTCGACTTATATCAGCTCGGCTCCGATTATATTTGCTCGGCTACGAAATTGATAAGATATGAGCCGAGCTGATGTAAGCCGAGCCGAGCCGATATAAGCCGAACCGTGCCGATATAAGCCGAACCGAACCGATATAAGGCAATCCAAGATGATGCAAGCTGAGCCGAGCTGATGTAATAAGCCTAGCTAAACTGATGTAAGCTGAGCTAGCTGATGGAGCATGATGTCTACAATAAAATCTATTACCTTTAGATTGTTTGGCAATTGAAAATTTGGGTACCAAAAGCTGAAATTTTCCAATTCACCATAGTTATTCCTAGTCAAAGTAAAGTAAAAAAGAATATGCATTTATCAAAATGAGATTGATATTCCTTCAAGTGAACTATAATGTAAAGTTTTTTAAAATTTTTTACAAATTTGTGACTGTGAGAAGCATAGAATAACTATGGCGAATTGGAAAATTTTAACTTTTGGGACCCAAAATTTGAATTGCCAAACACCCCCGTAAAGGTAATATATTGTATTGTAGACATCATAATGCTCCATCTACTTTCCTTAATATAAAAGCAACCTTCGAGTCTGTCATTCTCCCTCCCTCTCCCTTGAAAGCGTTACACATGGTTTTAGAAATTGTCGATTTTAAGTTTGAAATTGTTTGTTTGAATAATAATTGATGGCAACTATGTCAATTCCCTTGCAGAATCGGGTATCAAATTTATCACGACAAAATCACCTAATTTTTTAAGAGAACCGCTTAATTTTAATCAAACAATTCACACAAGAGCTTTAAATTCTAGCTTTAACATACATTTATATTTAATATTTTAATATCTTTTTTACTACAACAAAACAATGAATTATTTTCAAATTGCCAATCCAGATTAAGCTATTTTTAAAAGGAAAAAGTTTATATTGAATTGAGGCTATGAAGAATCAAATTGGAGCCCACCTCAAAATTTCCACTAAAAGAGGTTGTTTTGATACCTAAATATTCTCAAATCAATAATCTTGACATCAAGATGTATGTACATGAGAAAAAAGCGTATTTCAAGTTTTGGAAATAACGTATACCGTAACACATTTTTTTACTGTCTAGTTTCTTTGTTTTTAAAGTTTTCATAAATCTGTTCGATCTACGCTATTTTTGAAGCTTTAACTTTTATAATTAAAGATGAAAAATATATTTTAAGACTATCACAAAAATTGAGGGTACGCTTTATTTTGATTGTTTAGAGCCTCAGCTTGATAAAAACCACACATTTTTTAAAATTATAGATATTCAAAACCCAAGGATCTCAAATTAATGTTTTTCCTAATTTTTTGGATTTTAAAAATCCAAAATTAAGAATTAAACTAATTTCAGATTTGGAATATCAAACTTCAAGAAAAATTAATTCCAAATGTGTTTAGTTTTGGATTTTAAAAGTTCACTTGGGGGACTTTTTTAAACATCGACCTTCAAAATACTATAGCTATTTTATCATTTTCGAAAGTAATGAACAAATTGGAAACTTAAAAAAATAAAAAATAAACTTTTAAAGTAACAGCAGGGACACATTAATTACACTAAAAAACACTATCCGTTACATAACGTTAAGTCGATGTTTCCTTTAGCTTTTTATCAAACGACTACTTTCCAAAACAGCTATATCCCATGCTCTCCTTCTCTCATCCTAAACGGTTACATCCTAAACGGCTAGTTTCCTGAACGGTACCCTAGTCTTACGAAAAACCCTTCTATGCTCTTTCCTAAACGGCTACATCCTAAACGACTAGTTTCCTAAACGGTACCATATTTTTACGAAAAACCCTTCTATGCTCTCTCTGTCTCTCTCTCGATCACCATTCGCTCTGTGAGAAGGAGCGTCAATCTTTCTCGCTTTCTCTATCAATCACCAAGTGTAAGTGTTATGTGAATTTGTTGCTTTTTTCTTTTTTGCAGGCTACATCTTTTTCTTTGCTCTTCCTCTGCTTCAATGAAAGCAAGAGAGGCATCACCCTCTTCGTGAGCAGATGGTTCCAAGAAGACCTTCTTCATGGCAACAATACATAAGAAATTTGTGCTTCGTAGCCTCTTTATTTTGAAACTCTCCAGGAATTAGGAAGTTAAGGTTTCACTTGTTTAAGGGTTTGATCTTGTTTCGTTATTTCTTGGGTGATACTTTATAGTATTAACTTTTATCCATGATTGATTTCTCCATTTTCCCTGCTCTGTGATAAACCACAAATTAACTTTCCTACACTTCTTTATGATTTATGTAGTTATTTGTGATTCTTGATGAAATTGTAAATTTAGGTATCTGATTTTAATGGAGTTTAGAATCCTGCTCACATTTTTTGTTTTTCTCTTCATTGATTTCTTTTTCTTTGATAACAACATTTGGTACCTTAGACTTATTCCATGTTGTTCATTTTTATCCAATAGAGTCTTCCCTTAGCAACGCACATGAGATGATGGGGACTCTAATCCTCTATTTGAGGATTTTGCCACTTGATTGTTTTATTTGCCATATTAGGCTATTAGCTGTAAAGGGCCTCTTGGGGTTTAGTCAAGATTTATTTTTCCTTGACATAGGTCCCTTCCTTGGGTCAAGATTTATTGTTTCTGTTTGTAGCTTCTTTCTTCAATTTCTGAGTAAGATTTTATAATTTCAATCTATTTCTGGAGGCCAATTCCATGTTGTCTTGTTCTTGTCGAGTCAAGATTTATTTTCCATTGACATAGGTCCCTTCCTTGAGTTAAATGGACCTTTTCTTGTTTCTGTTTGTGGTTTTTTTTTTTAAGTTTCTGAGAAATATGTGCTTTTGAAGCCACTTTTTTTTACATGTGACTTTGATTCTCTTTGTAGATTTTTTATTTATGGAATGATATGTATAATCTATGTATAATGATATAAATATATTTCAAGTTATCGAATAGAAGTCATATACACATAACACCTATATCGTATAATAATGAAAATATTTTGCATAAGAACATAAACATGCAGTATTTAGGAAACCTCCCATCCATAATATTACCATGACTGTGCATAATACACTATTTAAACTCATAGTAGTTCAAATCCAGCCACATTGATGAGAGAGATAATGGTTTCTCTCACCCTCCAGATTCAACCCATCTTGGAACAGTAGAAACTATAACATTCATCTTGAGAAGTTTAGCCACTATGCTATGATACAACTTGTATCCATTCAAAGCACAAAAGAACTCATCAAAAGACAACATACCTGATTGTCTCCGTGAAATGATGGAATATCATATACAAAGGTGAAAGAATTTCTTTTGCAATGAGCTCCAACTGCTGAATCATGGCTCCCTTTTAAGATGTGGGTTCATGAAGTACTTCAATCATCCATAATCCATTAGCTATGGTCCCTTACCTCATAGCAATCTGTTGAAAGGCTTCACCATCAAGTTAAGAGGACTGTCGAGTTTTTATACTATAACCACGTCAGTAATGGCAGAATGCTTTTTCCATGGGTCGCATTGGTCCAGCCTCAAATTGCTCATGCATGTTGAAAGTTCATTAAACAATTGCGTTGTAATAGTGCTAGAGGGCCCAGTGCTCAGGGACCTTGCAGGGGCCTTGAGTTCCATACATAATCATTATTAAATAATGAAGGCTATTTTCAATGGGAGCTCATTTGGTTTTCTAACACTTTTAACATGATAAGCAGACAATATTTAGCATTACATGTATGGATGTATTTATTGAATATTGCCAGTTTACATCGCCCTTGCGCATCTAATGTCTAACTTAACTATTGCAGTTGATGATTTGGACTTGAATAATGTGTAGACTTTTACGGGGTGTTTCTTACCTGGCAATTGGGAAACAACTATGTGGTCCTGCCACAGGTTAGCAAATTCAGTTTGTCACCCAATAATTAACTAGGGAATGCATGTGAAGATAACTTTCTCAGCATTCATGGCTTCGGTAATCCCCGCATTCTTTATTTCATATTTAAATTGTGCTTGCAGACTTTCCCATAAGGTGCTGCCTCACTCAGCAACATAATGGACCAGGAGACAATTGCAGCCTGAGAGGTGTTGCCTTTGCAACATGCTGTCATAATCTTTGCCAATGGAAATGTTACACGAGTAGTCCCTATTCTTTAGTATACAAATACCTTTGATCCTTTACAATCTAGTTCTTGTATCTGTTGTATATGTCTTGTGAAAGATACACACATAGAGAATTAACATTCTATGAAATCATAGGATCATTGTTCACACAAGCACATGCATGGACATGTAATATGGAAATATCTGAATGTTCATTTAGAGCACTACTAAATTATACATAATTTATTGTGCGCAGTTCACAGTTAATGTGAAATATGCAATAATATGAGAGATCACCAAATGTCCTTAGATCTTTTTGAGATATCTCTAACTCATATCTTTTGCACTAAATCATTAGTAGAGATTTCTAAAGAAAATTGATCAACAAGAAACAAATCTTATGGAACCTGTTTCAGGTATATGTTAAATGACATCCAAGGACATTATATATTAGTATAGCTAGTTTTAGTTGTTCTAGAATCAAGAAGTAGAAGTATTCAAGTAAACCTTCAATAGCGTGATACCAAGCATGAATTTATCATGATGGAGCACCCCTCGTCTGATAAAGAATTGTTTCTTGGATTTCATTACCATCTGAAGCATGGTGAGTCTGTGGGTGCGGATGTGATCAAATAATATAAATGTTTGTTTGTCCATTTGCATGTGTGTGAAACAGGGAATAAAAGAAATAGGATTTTTTATTAACATGGCAGGCCAGTCTCACACGCTTTGATGTGTCCATAGACCACAATACACTTCCAA